CTCTTCTAAGTCCACCATCTCTTCCTCACCCTCTCACTACCGGACTTCTCAGTATCTGCAGACTACGAGAGAGAGAGGGATTGGTGACCTTGGGATTTGACGATATTTGGATCCTGACTCGACATTGGGATTCAGACATTTGATGAGGGATTGTTTGGGACTGTACCGAAGACTTGGTGTTGACGACATTTCCATCTTCCCCTCTTCTTCGTCTAACCCCACTCTTCTTCGTCTGTGTATAGTTGGGGACTGGCGCGTTCTTCCTGTGTGAGCGCCAGGCCCCTTCACACCATGGAATGATGATGATGTRTGTTTGGTCTGCATGGCAACATTGATTGTTCGGATCATTCGTATTTAAGCCTTCCGCTGTGTTATCTTGTACTTTGTGAGAGAGGTCGGTTCTTGTTCTGGTCTGTACCGTTACGGTATGCGACAGACCCACAACGTACGGAGACAACTCCCGGAACCAGGTGAATAATTTTGCAGTACCAGACCCACAGCACGGTGACCCCCCACATGGCCTGACTCAATATGTACTGATTGGACCCTGGGAACAGATTTTGGCTGCCGTATGACCGCGCCCGTTGAACCCGTAATGACCATGAACATAGTTGGAATACTAAGCTAGATTAAGCTGCTGTGTTTTTGAAACTCGTAAAGTTTTTCTGTTGAAGCAACGGCGTCCCACTGACCTGCACTTAAGGCAGGCACCGTGGCACGTCGGGTGAGAGAGGTAAAGTAGCATACTAAAAACATATTTAAAGCATAGCTAGTAAGGGCATTTCCTCAACTTGAGTGGCGTAGGAGTAGGGAGGTTAAGTATTCCTTGATGATGTTATATCAGGGATTGTTGGGGAGGAGTTGATGACGCCATGATAATGGAACTCACGTCATCTTCTTCTTTTATCTTCCATTGTGTGTATTTTCATTGACTCTGGCGATGGATAAGATGTGAAGCGTCTGCTCTAGCGAGCGGAGTGAGTGTCACGATAGAATCAAGTAGTTCTCTTGTCTAGACCCAAGCAAGAAGAAGAAGAACCAAAACAAAAAAGACTACCTACTACCTACGCAGGGGCGTTGGCGGGCAGGTGCAAGGGCGATGGCTATAAGTTGATGACGTTGACATCCGCTCGAATGAGCGCAGCGTCAAAGTCGTGTTCGACGTCGTGCTTGCATGGGCCGGAGGGCAGCACCCCTAGCTTCCGCTTGGCTGATCTTCTATAAAAGAAAAAATAAAAAATAAAGCATGGGGCGGAGGGCACACACGTGGGGCGTCGGGCAGGGGGCGCAGGTAGGGTTCCTCGGTTGTGTTTCGAATTCCAAATGCGGCCGATTTCGACTGCCAATCCGCCAGATCGGCGTTTGAAATCGGTCGCATTGTGAATTGAAATTTTGAAAAACCACGTAGCAGATCTTCGCTGATCAGAGGCGGGGGTCGGGCGGGCCCCCGGTTTTCAAAGAAACGGCGACAACTGTCTTCAACTTCTGTCCGCCACCTACTTCCAGCATTTCCCTTGGTCTTCTAGTTCTCCTGTCTCTCATTTTCATACCCAAACACCTATTTTTGCACAGAGTTCACGTGCAGGCTCTCCCAAGAGTGACGCTTTCTTTCCCCTAACGGAAACTCGACGCGGATTCTTGGGATGTGCCCAATGGGGCCCAGGGTCCTAGTGCAAGCCGGCTAGAACCACGGCTCCCAAAGATGGCCCAGCCTAAGAAATTCACTGGGGTAGACCCCAAAGTGGATGTCTCAGATCGAAGGTCCAACCTCAAGGGCTTCACCTGCCGAGAAGAGGAAAACGTGAGGACCACGGTCCTCGCTAGTGCCGCCTTGAAGTGGGCCACTTCTGAAGCCAACAAGGTCAAGAAGCAGCTAGCAGAATTGACTTCTGTTGTAGGATTAGACCCTTTGTTCTAGGGCCTGGAGGAGAGGTTTGCTGATAAGGAAAGAGATCGGAAGGCAGCCGACGAGTTAGTCACACTAGGTCAGACTAAATGGCATGGATCCCTCTCTTGACTGTACTCTGAGTGGGAACAGCTTAACTCTGCCCCCGGATTAGCCATGTCCCAAAAACGCAAGCTAAAATGGTTTATTTGGGCTGCCCCAGTAGGGTATGCCAGGGCCCTTTATGTCGCGAACTATAAGAACTGGAGGGCTCTCCCAGCCTCGGTGCTAGCGCTACGCTGTGAACGGAGCGGCAGGCCCGCCCTGTGTCGCAGCGACGAACATTGAAGATTCCTCGGTGTCGGTCGGCGACGACCAACGTGAGGAGGTCAACGTTTGGGCGCCTGGTTCTGTCCCCGCCCCCCATAGGGGCGGCAGCCATAGCTAGTCGTAGACAGAAGTGCGCTAGTAGCCAGCACTTCGAATGGGAGGGGTATGCGAGGAGGCTAAGCAACGACGGGGCTGGAGGACATATGAAAGGACGAGGAGGAGGGAGCAGGTGGACATAAGGGAATAGCGAGTGACACCAGAGCGAAGATCGTAGGTAAGAAGAAGGCTAGGGTTGACGAGAGGCAACGCAGAACCCCCAATCAGGGAGGGGTGGAAGACGAAAGGAGAATTAATTAACTCGGAGGAGGAAACATCTACCCGGGTAAGAGACGGACGGACGTGTATAGGAGCACAAACGGAGTAAGGGAGCGATTAACGTGGTCAGGGGTACATAACGTGGCTGAGACAAGAGAGTGCCTCTCAGAGGGATTGACTACAAACCTGAGAAGGAGAGGAACGACGGGTGGCATAGGGTGCGACTGCAACGAAGGACTCTGACATGTGATATCATGGAGATTCAAGAGTTTTGAGGTGAGTGTAGCAGGGTGAAGTTAAAATAGGAAAGGGAAGTGGGAGAGCGAAGGGACTCAAGAAAGCGTGTCTTCAGGAAGAGAAGAGGTGGGGACGAAACAACGAAGGATCGCAAGTAAGTGTGCGTGAGGCAAGGGAGAGGTTAGGGTGAGATCAAGCAGGGAAAGCAGGGGGCTAAAAAGAAGTAGGAGAAGCGGGGGGGAACGGAAAGTGTGGCTTGAGGAAGAGAAGAGGTGGGGACAGAATAGCAAAGGAACACAGGCAAGTGTGCGAACGGCAAGAGGGAGGTCAAGGTTAGATCAAGCAGAAGAAGGTGGATGGAACAGCGGGAGAGAGGGGGTCGTCGGGCGCAGTGGGTGTCTGGGATAGGTACATAGGAAGGGAGGACTGAAAGACCAACATACGAAGGGAGGTGAGCCTTGCTGGAGAGGCAAGAAGACTAGAGACAAGAGGAACATATGGCGAATCCGGAAGCTGCCAAACCAGAGAAGTGTAAGTGCAAACGACGAGAACTCTCTTCCCCCTCCTCCTCCCCTACCCCCTCCTGGCCAACTGCGCAGAAGGAAGGACTGAAAACAATTAAAAATCAACAAAACAAAAACCGAAAACAACCACGTTAGTCATCCCCTAAAAAGCTACAATCACCAAACCAGCACAAACCTTTCAGGTGAAGTCAGGAAGATTTCATCTCACAGAGAATTTAAAAGAATAAGTGAATTCAAGAATAATTCAAACTTGGGAAAATTTCATCTCACAGAGAATTTAAAAGAATCAGTAATAACTTAATAAGCCAAACAAGCACAAGCACTACTGTTTGCATAGGGGGAACTTCCAAATTCCAACAATGGCCAGGCCTGCACGCAACCAGAAAAGCCACAAAAGAGCCGACTCCATGCTCCTCTTCAGAGGAGCCATGAGGCAGGCAGCACTGAAGCTTCTGGCTACCCCCCCTACAAGACATCGTACAAGTAAAGAGCCTCGACACGATATTCAGGCAGCAGGAAAGGAAAAGGATGCTCAGTCATTGCAGAAGGAAGATGATTTCCCTCCACTTCGGAATGGTAGCGTAGGAGATAGCAAAGGGGAGTCACTGGGGGGTCCTTCAATTGGTCCATCCAGCGGTTACAAAGGGACAGTTCATCAGGAAAATGATCGAGGGGAGAGTTCGGGGGATTCCCCAACTACAGAAGGGGCAGAAGGACTAACATCATGGACCGCCAAACTCAAGGGCCCATATCAAAGGAAAACCCTCGAGGTCCCCAGAAAGGACCCTCAGGCCATCTCCCTCCAGCTCCTCCTCTCCACTCTCTCGACAGCAAGGGCATTCTTCCTGTCACAATTTCTGACTCCATCCGAACAAAAAGTAGTGGAAAGTGGAGGGAAGAAGTTCCAGATCAAATCATATCCAGCGCACAAGACGGCTGAAAGGGACGCCATCTATCAGAAGCATGCAAACAATTGGGTGTTCCACGACGACGACGCCTATAAATCCACCAATGACAAAATCAAGTGGATTTGTAAGCGACTAGCATCCCTCAAAGGTTGTCCGGAGGCTGTGCAGGATGACTTTTTGATTCAGCCAGTCTCCTCCTCCGTCTTCACGATCCTCTGCTTGCATGTTACAGACAAACAGACCATTGACAACTGGCGGAAGCTCCGGTGTGATAGATCGGAGATTCGCATCTATCCTTGGAGCCCCCTGAAACAAGGCCCATAAGAAAAGAGGGCCCAAATGATGGAGGCCTACTACTGGGTCGAGTTCAGGCATATCCCCATAGAAGTTCAGGCGACTTTCGTTCACGAACTGGGTGAGCAATTCGACATAGTGGACTTCATCGACCCTCTTCCTCCCTACGACGCTAAATGAG